TATATATATATATATATATAAACAGTGTTGACGTCTTATAATAATCTTATAATAATTGTAAATATTGTAAATATTATAATTTTAGATTTCTAGATACAAGATTACATTAACGAGCTAGAAAAACAATAGCTTACTATATAATATAAAATCATTTCTAAATGAATACTTCAATGAATGAAAAAAAAAATGTTAGATATAAATAATTATATTGTTTAATGAAAAATGATATTATTATTATTCAAATTAATTTCCGATCTACTATTATTTTCTTTGGCATCTTCAACTGAAAAAATATTTAATAAAAAAATGAACTATTTTCCGCAGAATGTTGGCAGCAACCGATAAGGTAAGAACTCGTTTAATTGTTGGTTAACCATGAACGAGTTTCTCGTTTCGCGTGAAGAATTAACTTGAATACGCTTTTTTGAGATGATCAATACAAGTATATAAAATGAAAAGAAAAAAAAGAAAAAGAGAAAAATATACAAGTCATTGCAGATCCAGAAAACTGTTAGGTTAATTGTTACGACACTGATCTTACAATATGACACAGACTATCTCGAAAACAAAAATTATACTTTTCAAGCATATATATCCAACAAAATTTTCAATTACCTCGTTTTCAAATCATCGAGTTCAGCCAGTAAACTCAAGGATATTTCATTATTGATTTTCAATAGTACATGCTCCATACTATTTTTATTACTGGATTCCAAGAGATTCGATTTAAGAATCTTGTGAATCCATTAATGAGCAAATACATGTTAAAAATACAAAAAATAAGTAATGAGAAAAAAAGAAGCACTTACACATATAGAAGACATGTTTTCTCTCTACCCATACATAAATCGAATATGTGAGATGTGAGAACCGATTAAACGTTCAAGACATCATCCATATAGCGAAATATAAGCTAGGTTTGCAAGAGAAGTACGATTTGCTACAGGTGGTAGAGTATAGATAACGCGTGAGGGTGATGCTGCTACCGAATCTCTCCCACAAAAGAAAGCTCTTTAGAAAAATTTAAGGTTATGATTCTTAATATTAACTTTCTAAAAGCTTATTATTTTCTTAAAATATATATTTAATAAAATTAAAAAGAAAAAAAAATTAGAATTGAAAAAATCGCGGAAAAATTTGCACTTGTTTAACACATTGTCCTTGTTGGCGCGATACGACACGGCATTACAATACCGACTAGCTTGCGCAATCGACGTAGCAAGTATACGCTTTTTCACTACCATTCACTCGTTTTCTACTGTCATATTGAATATTTTCATTCATTCACAATGAAATCTTACGCCAACTTGACTTGATGTAAAACAATTGACCGTGATCAATCAAACTTGTTTCGATTTTTACTTTATTTCACAAATTTTTTTTCAATTCGTTTAGTCACAATCTATAATCATTCTCGTTGATTTCATTCAATTTAACTCAAATTACATGATGTTTGTATCGAATATATAAAATCTTCGAATCGAATATTAGTCATCTTGCGATATAAAGAATAAACAATGTCTTTCATGTTCTCCCATTGAATTGTAACTAACGACACTTGAAAAAGTACTGCAAACAAGAAGTATATTTACGTTATACGTTAAAGGTGGCGCATACGCGATGAATTCACGCGAGTTTCTGCGTCAGCCGTCTTGGAATAGCAAGTGATGTCAAGCTCGGTGTTTCGATTTGGTTCAGTTCGTTCTTCTGACAAACTAAACACATACATATTCTCATACGATAGTGAATATATATTCGCTACATTAAAAAATACTTTCAAAACATCAGAATTATCAACAAATTATCAATTTAGAAATCGTCTATTATAAAACAAAAATATTTTAGAAAATTAAAAATCAATGAGAGAGCGAAGGATAAGAAAATGGAATAATTGGTATGGAACGAAACGAAAAAAAAAACGAAAAATAATGCAAATGAAAAAATACACAAATTAATTAAATCATATTAATAAATCACGAAAAGAAAAAAAAACAATAAAAACAAATAAATATAAATCATTAGGATAGATTTTTTTCATCATACTATTTTTTTTAAATTATAAATAGATCTACATAAATACAAACAAAATTATAATAATAATCAAACGCTAATTATATTTTATTTTTATTTTATTTTTTCATTTTTTTTTGAAAACTAATTAGAAATTAAAAATGAAATATTAAATTAAAAAGAAAAGAAAACAGTCAACTCATCAAAATGTTAACGATAATATGAACAATCATATGAATGAACGAATGAACGAATGAACGATACACGCGATATTTTAATCGTAACTAAGATATCTTATTAACTAGCAAAATTCAATTTTCGATAATACACGATACTCATACCATGTTTCCTAGGATTTTGATTACGGCCAAACGATCTATATCTATAATTATAGATCGTGATTTGTGCATGAAATATAAAACTATAAAGTAAATATCGATAATGTATCGATATTTATATCGATGATCATATCGATAGTGTTTAATTGTTTGTTTTAAAAAAAATTGAAACTAAATCAGAAAACTTTTATTTATATTATTCCTATAAAATTTTTATACAATTTTTAAG